TGGTGCCAGAGTGGGAAAACCTGCCTAGAATGCCAAGTACAGAGCAAGTCTATTGAAGTCAGGAAGCCTGGCCCATTATTAAAAAAAATATATTATATATATATACACACAAATAATAAAAACCTGTTGTTGAAAGACACCATATAAAAATAAAATTAATACATCAGGTCATAGGGATGGGAGGAATGCCTACACCACCTGGTCTCTTCTAGGAATGTTCTTCCCTAAATATTTGCAACTACCTGCTCCCATAGAAGATGACATTCAGAAGAACTAGTCTGTGATGACAGTATTGTAATATAGTCTGATCAATGAATTAATTTCTTCCTACCCCTCCATTCACATCTTCAGTGATTTTTGTCATTGAACAGAACTGTATCAACAAAACATCCAATGGAAGAAAACAAAAAAAACTTCCAAACTTCCACCACACATTTGTCAAAGAGTAGCTATGCATAAGGTTTTGGCATCAGTGCTTGACTTTGATGTGCACTGACCCCAGGGAAGAGCTCAAAGCTGCTTTAACACAATTTACAAACATGAATATGGTAGCGGTTAGCCTGCTGAGTGAAAAGCATCTATGCTCACAAAGAGAATAATATTATCTGGGAGAAGCAAGATGACACAGCACAAAGCTAATACACACAAAGCAAACACATGTTGTTAACTGCAAAAACTTTTAGCTAAACTGAAGCAATATGATAAATATATCTCTACCAGATCCACAATATTTTTAACTTCCCCCCTATGAACACAAGAAAAAAACATTTGTATCCCAGTGAAGGGGGGAATTAAGTAGAGTATAAATGATTCTGCAGGTAAATAAGACTGTAAAAACAAACCCACATTTTTAGGAGGTAAACACAATACATGCTGCTGCTTCCCTCTGTACCCTTGCCAAGGAGAATGTTTATGATTCAGAAGGCAACAAAGCCTTTGTGTTCAAGGACCGTGTGGATTTCAGGACATGTGCTCTTCTGAACAGCACACACTTCAGAGATACCATGGTCCATCACGTCACCCTAAGTCACCTTGACATTTCCGAGATTATACATCATTGAGATGATAGCCTCAGGGCTATAAACCTTCTTTTTAATACATTATTAATGATAATGGCTGCTACAGACTGACTACATAGTCCTAGCATCTCTTTTTCCCTCAGAAATCTAACCAAGACTATCGCCTGCAGTTAACACAATAATATCCTGCAGGTCTGGATTAGGTTTTTCACAATCACAGAAGACTTGAGACTTCAGTAGCTCAGAATTAGATGGTGTCTGCCCAGGAAATTGTAGGTTGGGGCCCCAGTTCAGCTCCTTGACCTACGTACCAAAGGGCATGGGAACTACAAAGGCACCAGTAGCCTTATAAATCACCAAATAAGGATCTGGGGATAATAACTACAAGCTTGTTGTTTCAGTTAGTCCCTCAATTAACCTAAGTTGCTCCTGACACTTGTATTGAAAGATAAGCAAAATACCTACTCTATTTTTAGAAGAAAATGATCACCGAGCTCTCAGATTTTACCTAGATCTGAAGAATAACATTAACAGACCATAAAGCAGACTACATGGAAGGCAGTTTTCAGCGTATGGGTCACAACTTCGCTGGGGAGGGGGAGCAGAATCTGTTGGAAAACTCCCTCCAGAGCTGTAGGTGGTTTCCAGGGGTGGAGAAAGCATTCCTCTGCAGAGCTTCACGTTCATGATACCAAGAACAAGCTCTGAATTGTCATCTGATTTTTCCACCTACCCACTCTGTTGACTTACAGCATCTTTTTCAAGAACTGCATCCACCCAAGGAACGTGAGGTTGTGTAGTTTATCCTAAAAGTTTAGGGAGCTAGTTCTATTCTTGCTTGGGGTGATGCCCACACATCCCACACCAATCCTTTTGAGGAAAGAAATTACAAATACCCTCTTACCCTCTCCCCATCTGCAATTAGAACAACAGCATTACCATACACACTTTCCAAGGCTTTCTTAGTCACAGTTTTCTCCACTTCTATTTGCAAGGAAGAAACCTTCTCAGAACAGCACAAGCCAAATTCCTCCCGCTTGCACGTGCTTTGCTTAGGTGGGGGCAGTGATACAAGTCTGGCTTACATGAAGCCTTTCCTCATTTACTTGCCTAATTACATAAAACAGTGCTGTTAAAAAAAAAATAAAAAAAGCCTTAAAAAAGGGCAGAAATTTCACGTACACCCCTTTTTCTAAGTGGGTTAGCCCAGCCTACGTGTTACCAGCAGCATTGCTGGCCTGAAAGTCTTTCATTATCTCTTGAAAGTCTGCGTTATCTGAATATTAACAACATTACATGGATATTCATCTAATGGTCTGATAACATTATCTCCCAAGCTCTTGGCTGCAGAAGCACACTGCTCGTACTCAGCTTTGCACATCAAAGGGAAACAACAACAATAGCGCAGCTTTGAAAAATGCCTTGAACCGGCCAAAGTACGGAATTCATAAGCAAAGTGCTCTGTTTATCTGGCAGCTGGGTGCGGCTGGAGGAGCCCTGCTCCAGAGCCAGTGCACGCCTGGCAGAGCAGCCCTCTGCTGCACTGACTCAGCGGAAAGCAGTGGGAAAGGAAACGCGCTCGCGCTCGGAGATTTCCAGACCCCGCCAAAGGCCTACTCCCCCTCCCCAATGCCGTCAGAGTGAAGGAGGAAAGAGGCTCCACCAGGGCAAAAAAACATATTAATGATTAGAAAAAGATCTGGAGCAGGAGTAAAAACAGACACTAAAAAAAAAAAAAAAAAAAAAAAAAAAACACAACACAGGTACAAAACCAAGAAAAATCCTTCCCCCACTGTACAGAATTGGTGCACTTGACTCTCTTTGACCTTGTGCTGAGGCTTGCTTTCTACAATCCAGCAGGGCACAGCAACCCTAGGCCAGCCCCCTCCTCCTTGAACCCTCAGACATGTGGGACAAGGGCTAGGAAAAGCAAAACACACGCAAGCACGTGCACATGTATGTATGTATATATATATATATGCATGCACACACAATCAGTAGAAAAATTGTTTCTGGAGAACTTTGAGACATCCCAGCAACGGGCTTATTTCTGCAGGATAATAAACTGCTGCCAGAGTTGAGGAGTACAGGGTCAAAATGTTTCTACCTTCTCTGATGTTACTCCAGCTCTCATTACAGTTTTAGAGAGATTTTCTGTGGCTGCCAAGCAGACTAGGTTTTGCTGTATTTTCTTTGAAGTACAATATTTTTTATATATCTTATGTGAGCTGACAGATGCATGTTGTTTTTTTTTGTTGTTTTTTTTTTTTTTTTTTTTGGGGGGGGGGGGGGAGGGGAAACAGCACTATGAAATAACAGAGCAATATAACCACACATTTCTGCCTGCATCTATTTTGCTCTGCTGATCCAGTGGATCAGCATTCATCAGTAAAACACTGTATCGGGGAGCAGCAAGAGCCCAAGAGGTATTTGTCTTCCTCTTCTCCAAATCACAAAGTGTTTCAGTGGGTGTTTCCACAAGAATAGAGGGCTGTTCATGAGATTCTTGTTGATCAGCAGGGTAACTTTGGAGTGACTGTTGAGAGTAAGAAGGGCAGTAGGAATACTGCATTGCTCAGGAGCCTGTAGTCTTCCATATCTGTTTCTTTTATGTACTTGTAATATTTTTGTCCATATGAAAAAGAAAGGCCTGCTAATAGGCAGCTAGGACCTGCCACAGAGGTTCTCTGGCCAGAAAAGCAACCACTGTTTACATACACAGAGTGCAGGCAGAGGAAGATAGTATTTTGTTTAAGGTGGAATGACTTTGGCACAAAGCAGTTTTATTGTTACTCATCTTTATACAATTAAAAACTTGCATGTAACAAAGAGACAGTTACAAAGTAAACGTAAAGGCTCCTGAAATAGGATTGGTGTAGGCAATTTTCAGCACAAATATTTACAGATGTGGTGACTGAGTATAACAGAAAAGGCTGAAAGGCTGGCCTTTTTTTTTTTTTTCCACTGAGATGCACCACAACATGGTAGTGCTCTGAAGGCTGTAGTCACATAGGAATCATGCAGAGCCAGGTTCAAGCAGCACGTTGCACATGCATGCACTGCAGTAACATTAGCTGCTTCTGAAGTCTGCATAACACCAAGCTTCCACTCCTTCAAACTGCTCAGTTGTTTTTAATCCATTCACCCGTCCTCAGCTTCTTGGCACATTTACAGTTCCCCTCCCCTCTCTCCACCCACTTCTGTGTGTGCATGCATGTGTTCGTTCAGCACAGGCTTTTTCAGGTTCACTCCTAAAACTTCCTGTTCACTTTGTTTCAGGTCCATAGTTAACGTGCTTTAATTTATAAAGAAAAGAAAAAAAAATGGGAGTTACTTTGCAGTTTTTTTTTTTTTTCATGTAAGAGTTACTCCACAAAGTCAGAAACAACAAATTACAGCTCAGTTAGCAGGTGTGCATCTTTAAGAGATCTATACCATCTTCCTAAGAGGGAGCACACAGTACAAGTGTGTGCTTACCTCAAACCCAGCACTTCTCACCATAGTCTCAGCTTTTAGATTCCACCAAGCACCTCTATAGTGTGCAGCATGTATAAGGGCCTATAAAGAATGGCTTCCATAATATCCAAAACTCTAGGCAGAGGAAAAAGGCCCCCCCCCCCCTTTTTTTTTTTCCTTCTCCAAACAACTGGTACTGAGACAACAGCTCTTTGGTGCAGTGCCTGCATGCCTGCAATTAGCTGATCTATGGGGCTGCACAAGCCGCCCAGCCCAGCCCTAGCCTCCCGCCACAGGTCTCAGATCAGATGCCCTCTAACCCCCTTCACTTCCACTCACTAAGCGACACGTGGCAGCTTTCTGTTCTAGCAGAGTACATACCATCTAACATAATACTGCTTTGGATTATCCCCCAAACTATAAATTAGTATTTATATTCAGCACCTTCAAGCAGTCTTGCACCAGATCATGTTTTTCAGACGTGTTGCACCACCACATAAAAGAAATTGAAACAGAAGAGCAAAGAAGATATTCATACTTACTATTTCTGAGAAAGTATCCCTGTTAAAAACAGGAGCATAAGCTATACTTGCTTTGGTACATGTGTATTCATGGGTGCACATAGTTCAAGAGATACTTGGGAATATATAACCTAATCAGCTAGAGCTCCTCTAGGAAGAGAGCTATGGCAGGCAAGTTAAACTGCAGCCAGCCTAGACAGCTCTGCTGTGAGACGGGACACATTAGCTGAGGAATAGCATCAGGCTAACACAGCTGTACTGTTTGTTAGTGGAGCTAACAAGGCCTGTAGTGACATATCAGCCACCTCAAAGCCAAACAAGGACTCTGAACTTCACTCCAAAGTGTGGGTACACCCATGTGTTTGCACAGAATGCCTGTTTGCTGATTGATGAGGGCAAAGCACTTTGGTGCAGTTAAATCCTTTGCAGAGAGCCTTGGGAATCTGTTAAACTTTGCCACAGGGGCTAGAACCTCTAGAGGGTACTGAAATAGAGTGAAAGAATAAAATCACATGACTAAAAAAAAAAATACATCTTTAAATTCAGATGGATTAGTGTATGTTAAATCCTAATCCACAGTGGCTTAAAGCAGAGTAGTTTTTATATACATATACCCACTTTTATGTACACGTACACTCCTTATTCAAAGGAATTTCCAACTGTTCAGAAGCCCAGTGATAGATAAAACCATGCTTTGGCTTTGTTGTGTTAGCTCAGATACTTCTACAAAAAGAAAAAAGACAGAACAAAAAGATAAACAAGGTTATTGGAATGTAAGGAAGAAGTGTGATCTAGGCTTTCATAAAGTGAGCACTATATGAGAAATAATTTTTCTATTTAAGAAATCTTTAATCAAGCACTGTTCCTTGTTCTTGACAGAACACAGGTTAGAGCCTTGAATTGTATCTGGATTTCTTGTACTAATAGAAGTCGATGCTCTTACTCTAGGGCTTCTAGTGTCCTTCTAGAAGTGACATACCAAGTCACCGCGTCTCACTAAAAGAAGCAGAGAAGATGTTAGACACCACATAACCCTGGCTAGAACTTACCATAAATTAAAGTAACAAGAACACAGCTGGGCACGTGTCAGCATTTAACAAAGGTGTTGTTTCAACAGTGGAATGTGCAAAGCTGAACTACCAGGACTTCCTAATGACAAGCAAAGACATGCAGTGCAAAAGGACTTAGAGCTTTCAAGCTGTTATCATAGAATCATTAAGGTTGGAAAAGACCTCCAAGATCATCCGGTCTAACCATCCTCCTATCACCAGTGTCACCCACTAAACCATGTTCCTAAACACCATGTCCAACCTTTCCTTAAAGGCTTCCAAAGACAGTGCATCCACCACCTCCCCAGGCAACCCATTCCAGTGCCTGACTAAATGCCTTATGAGATAAGTATAATTAGCATGGTCCCATCCATTTCAAGTTGGAGTAAGATTACTTCAAAAGCAGGCGAATTATAGCAGGATGTGACAAGATAAAAAGGCCAGAAAACAACTACATGAGCATAAAGCAATTTAAACAAAAAATAATAAAAAAAACTCAGCTGCACATTGCAGAGACCTCTAAGAGTTTACAGAGCTGGACATCAGACAGATATCAAGGAAGAACACGCTGATTTAGAACAAGTTGACTCCATGCATTTAGGTCCATACTAGTAGTGGCCACTAGATTGTGGGTCAACTGTTAGTTAATGCATGCCTTTTTTAGTTTAACATTTTTCAAAATTAACATGAAACAGAAAGATTCTCCCACAGGCCCAGTAGCCATCTGGCGCTATTGCTGTACTTCATGAAAGATTCATTGCCACTTCATCATAGTGGGTTATTTCAAAGACTGTAGTGATTTATGTTTTATAAGCAGAATATTCTCCTCACCTTTGAGGTTTGCAAATCTGCTTCAGCACCACAGTTCAACAGAATATGTTCTTTCTGGCTTCATTCTGTGGATTTCTAGCAACCTTGAAGGCCACAGCATCAGCTGAAGAGTCATAGTTTTAACAATAGCTTCAGAAAATGGACAAAGCAGTCTACCTCCCGCCCCCCAAGAAAAAAAAAAAAGCAACAAAATTCCAGTAAAACATGTCCAGACATTAAGAGCTGCATTGTAGCTCCAGACTCCAATTTAGCTATCCAACTCAAACAGAGCTATATAAAGTAATACATAGCTTAGTTTGACACTCATTCTAACAGAAATTTTATGTTTCTGTTGTGTTCTACTCTCAGGAGACTGTGCACCCTGAAATATTCTAGCAGGTTCTACAGAGACTAAAATGAAGCCAGTGGTTAAGGAGTGCATAGGCTAAATCTCTCCCTGTGAAGGCTGGGGAAAGCAACAGTAGTTCAGTAAGTGACTGAACTCCCAACTAGTCATCAGAAGCTTGGCTACAACACCTACCCTGATGCTCTGCTGTACCACACTGGTATGAACTGCATGTGCTGTGGTTTTTGACTTGGAGGATACACATTTATTTGTTTTTTCCTCAGGCTAGTATGAATAAGGTCAGAAGAATTCAGGTAATTCCTTTAATTAGAAAGGGACTGTTTGTGAGAGTTGGTAATAACTTGAAGAGTGGGAGTAAAATACAACCCCAACAATTCAATATGCAACAGGCTCCAATAGGAAGCTACTAAAATTGAGGAGGAAGTGAGTGAATATTCATAAGTTCTCATCAAAATGAAGAGCACCTTTAGAGGTTCCATCTCTTATCTGTAAGTACATTATCAGCCCACACAAGACTTCAGTCTGCAGCTCTGCATGTTATCTCAGTCATGGGTATTCATGATAGCAAGGTACTTGTTTTGTCTTAAAATTGTCTTTACATTGAGAAGGTCCCAAGGCAATTTACCCTGGGAGTCAAGAACAGATTATATGACAAACCTGAATGTGCTACTTGATCTCATGGAAGCATGCAGAACGGAAATGGGTACCCTGTCTTGGGTGGCCCTAGGGAGGCTGCAGCAAGAGATGTAAGAGGCAACAATGAGGACTTCTGCTGACATGAAAATCAGTGGCGGCAGTTTTTAAGAAAACATGGATTTTTTGCTGAAGACGCTGGTAGACATGGTGGCAACAGAAGCAGAAGAGACCTTTATTATCAAGGCTTGCTCTTAGGCCTTTCAGGCAGACTGAGAGCAAACTGAACATGTTTGGTCCTATGGACTCAAGTGACAAATGAGGGTGTTGAGATTGCAGTCCAGTGCCACTGAGGTCACTCTTGATAACCTCCAAAATATCAAGGTAGTTGCAAGAGGTCTCCAATAGCTGTAGAAAGGCAAAAGTGTCATTCTTCTTGAAGAAGGGAAAGAAGGATGTTCTTAGGAAACCACTGATTTAATCACAGACCCTGAAAAGACCATGGAGCAAGTCTTCAAAGCCATTTTCAAGCATATTAAAGGTAAGGTAGTCATGGGGAACAAGCTGCAGTTATCTAAAGGAACTAGTACTTGGCTGATCCAATCTCCTCCTCTGAAGAGAACAGTAACTCCAAAGAAAAGAAGAGCAGAGGCTATCATTTACCTTGACTCTAGCAAAGCTTTCAGTCTTCCAGAGTATCCAGATTAGCTAAGCCATAGGGGTATAGATTGGCTGGGTGGCATATAAAGGAGGCAGAGAATTTGCTGGAACATTACACTGAAGAAGTCAGTTACCCAAAACCCTTGGCAGCCAGTTGCAAGTAGCATCCCTCAGGGTTGGTCCTGAGGCAAAGCACATGTTATGGAGAGTTTTAAATAAAATGTGTTTATTTAACCTGGAGATAAGGCTGAATGGGGAATGCAGTTGTCCTCTGCTGTAATAGCTGGTTATGGAGAACATATCAGGAGGTAAGCAGTTGAATGATGAAAGTTGAAAGACAGAAGGTTCAGAAAGGGTGATTCAGATTAAGGAGGAACAGTGGTGGGGGACCGGTAAAAATAAGAAAGGCCAAAACACTAGACCAGACTGTCCATGAAAGCTGTGGAATCTCAGTTCTTGGAGATAACCACAGCTTGACTGAGCAAGGCTCTGAACAACCATGCCCAACTTTAGAGCTGGCCTTGTTTTGAGCAGGGAATTAGACCAAGCATCCTGCAACATTTTGTTTCTATGATCTTGAAAGTCAAGACTCAAGCTGTTCTTGTCCAGGGAAAATGATATTAAAGTACAACCACATGTAAGGTATCTTTTACCTAAAGTCAGAAAGATGTAACTTGCAGTAAGATTTTAAGAGGCAACCATTTCCCTCTACTTTCAATTTGTTTTTATGATGGAAAATTCCAATCTTGAAGATTTTGAGCAGAACCTACAAACAGGCACAAGAGATTATACTCTGCCAAGTTTACTTTTTAAACTATGCTCACTACAGAACATCTTGAACTTTTAGCTTTCCTGCATTACAGATGTCTGGATGGACAGACTCTAGCTGTTCTGTTGAGTCAGCTTTGCAGGGAATACTTACCTAGGCAAACAATAATAGCAGGCAATGCAAGAGCCCTCTTTCCCCACCTTTTCAATAAGATCACCTCAAGATGGTCTCAGAACCTTTTACATGCAAGCTGGTCAGTCAAATGAATCCTCAACTAAGAAGACTAGTGGAACAGGAAAGAGTTGTTCTGCTTTCAAACAATTCTTTCCTGCCTAGGAAAAAAAAAAAAAAGACAACAAAAAAAAACACACCACATACACAAGTCTCTTCACCTATAACAGTCTTCCCACAGTATCACTACTACCAAGTTGCTGTGGTATAAGGCAGGTGTTATTTTAAGTTGCTGATAAATCATTTCCCAGGGGACAGAGGGGAACCATTGCACCTCCGTGAATTTTCACTGCCTACTAACACCTCTTTCCAAAGCTAGCTGTATACTAATGCTACTGATCAATGGAATAATTTGTCCTCTACTTTCTTCCGCTACATTCCCTGAAATTTTCTTACCCACTCCAATCTCTAAGGGACAGTGAATAAAGAAGCTTCAGCATGATTCTCCAATGCATTTAAAAGCCTATGCTTAAAAAAATCTTTAATTTAATACAAGAAAAAAGTATGCCCATTGGAGTGCACCTAATTTAGATGAGAACAGTAAGAAACCTCAGAATGTAGATGGTTTGTTTTATTATCACTACCAGTAAACTACAGCTGCTTCACTGTTCTGAAGGATGCTGGCCTTACACAAGGCTGGCCACCACTTTCTTAATCTCCCTTCTACTTTCCTTCATCCTAGGTGGTGAGGCACTGGAACAGGCTGCCCAGAGAAGCTGTGCATGCCCCATCCTTGGAGGTGTTCAAGACCAAGCTGGACAAGGCCCTGGGCAACCTGATCTAGTGGGTAGCATCCCTGCCTCTGGCAGGGGTTTGGAACCAGGTGACCTTCCCTATTCGAGCCCTTCTATGGTCCTATATTCTTCTCCTTCCTATTCATCTCATTTAGATTACAAGGCTGAGCACAGACATTTTGGTCTGTGCTTGTACAGCCCCTTGTGAAAACACTGTGATTACAACCCAGGACATTACTGCACAAATCAGGCCAGTTAAATATCAAGTTTCACAGCCATAGTATGCTGTTTCCACTACAAGTTCTAACATACTTTCTTCAGTGCTTCAGTCATTCTTCCTTATACAGTAAGAGCAATTGAACTGGTAAAAAAACAACAACAAAAAAAAAATGAACAACTACCATCTCAAAACAAAGAGCTGGCTTGGAAGAATTAAGCAATTGAGTCAGTGGCCAACAGGGACAAG